TATACCGCTGCTACCCGAAAACATCTATTCTTGGTCCGGTCGGCAACCATCCGCCCGGTGGTAGAGCTGTAAAGGCCGCGTGTGGTATCCTAAGCGATTCCCGTTCCAACGGAATTTTCTTCGTCGAATGCCGCAAAACGTGTTTCTACGCAAACGACTCTCTCACCCGTTCGAAGCGGGACACTATTTCTGTCCCACGTACACGATTTAATGAGGTAAACCGAGTCTCTCGTATAACAGTTAAAGCGGCAAATTCAGTCCCGTATAAAATATTTAATGTATTAAATGTATTTTAATTACAAATATAATACTTGATATAGCTATAAATTCACCGAGTACGATAGGCGAGTGTATCTTATCGTTACAACAACGATGGATGTGATATGTGATAACTGATATATGCAAGTTTAATGTACGTAACATACAATTGCGTTGATTTAATAATTAAAAGCGTGTTAAATAAAAAAAAACCAGCATTTCACTATATTTCAAATTACCGTTTTAATTTTTACACAAGGGACTCAATTTACCTAAAATTAATAAAATGGGACTCAATTTACCAAATCCGAATATTATCTTATTACAAGTTATTATCGAAGGCTCCGCCGAAAAAATTCTAAAAACCACCATTGATTGCTACGAATGAAACAAAAAAGCCTATTTTAGATTAGACCCTGCGATATGCGAAAACCAACAGTCGAAAATCCTCTAATTACTGACTGGCCTCCTACATATTAATATCAAGAGGGTCCGCGAATTAAATTCTTAATAATTATTATTGTTTTCTATTTATTCTTCCAATTATTATTTCTTGGAATTAATGTACTATACGATAGATAATACGATAATACGATAGATATTGCGTGTACGTACGATCGAGCGTCAAATCGTCTTACAAGTTACAACCAGTAAAAGCGTAATTGGAATACATTTTTAGGGAGAGGGTGTAGAACAACAGAAGAAAATCCTCAGTTGGGGAGAAAATGCCCTCTTGTCCCCCCTCAAATACGCTACTGGTGACAACAGCGAACGATTATTGTAATTCAAAGGCGTAGAAAAAAAATATAATATGTTTTTAGCGCGGGACAAATGAGACTCCGGTTTGATACCACAAATGTAAACCGATAACCGATAAAAACTGTCGTCATTCACGAATGCGCGTGTTTTATTATGATCGAACATCCGCCGACACCGGCGTCCAAAAATAAACACAATGTTTTGACTAGGTCGATTCATTAACACTAAATGCTACGCCGTGATTATTTTTATATTCGCATTGTATCTGTATATTAGTGGCGTGGCAAGCATATTTCAAACCATAAGCAAAATATTTAAACAATGACCTACCTCCTCCCCTTCCCACATAATATATTTGTACACGAATATTAAATTGTACTAGGATTTTCCTCAATTTCTTTCAAATACTAAACCTATCTACTATATGCGCATATTAAATTATTTTTCAATGCATGCAATAAGCTAATTAATTGAAATATTTAAATAAAATATATTCATAAATACATAAGCCAAGGGATACCCAGTCCCTTAATAGGTTTCTAGGGCTAAGCTATTGCATTATAAACACGTCGTTCACCACGTCACTGCTATAAAACGTACTTCTATGTATGGTATACATCGATGACTCAAAATCACGTATGAACATGTCACTCGAAGAAAATATGTAGATTCACATAGCTCCTCGTTAACGGTGCTCTTCAATCTACATCCCAACAATTATCTAACATACTATTTATATTGTTCTTTATGTACAAGTAACTAAATTGCTTAATGTAAACTTAATTTTTGAAAATGCCAAGAATTACAAATACTACCTAAATATATTTAAGTCGTTCGACCTTTATGCTAGGAAAAGTAAAACTCAGTCCCGTAATACCAATTTGACAATGTAACTAGAATTGTGTATGCAGTTTTCCTGCCAATGAATCCAACGGCTCCTACGTATTTTAAGATATCTGTTGAATAATTTACATTTTTGTATACTCTCACAAGTAAATCTATTATTACTTTTTAATTTTATTTTATTTTTATAAAAAAGAAATATATATCGGTTGTAGGTTTAAATCGGTTGAAAAACCTATTGGCTGGAAAAAATAAAATGTATTCGTGAAGACTGAAGAAAAGATGTACTCGTTCTACGAGCCACCAGTAATTTGGTAAAGCGTTTTACTTCTTGTGGCAATAGCAAAAATACATAATTCCCGGAGAGATAAAAGTTTCGAACACGAGACAGCGCAGGTGGCGGTATTCTTTAACCATTGGAAGAACATAATGCACACTCGTCCGTTTCATCATCGGTGATCTCGGGGAATGTGCGTCTATATTGTACCTACAGTAAAGTTAACACACCGTTTCGTATATATACAAAATTCAATGACTGAAATGAAGACCGATGTACGATTACTGCAATGATACCATACCGTAATCGGTATATTCATTTATTTTTTCACTCACCTTCGTTTTCTTTTCTCTTGCACAAATTTCGTACAAAAATGTTTAAACATGTAACGCATTATACAATATTCAAATACTAGAGAATAGGAAATAATTAAATGCATTCGTTAATAAATAATGATAATACTACAATGCCGTTAATAGAATATGAAGCACGATGAAACAGAAATGAGGCACTTCGTGAAATAAATCGTTTCTAAGATGAAGGATTCAGGAGAATAATTTGTTTATTCGTAGACCTGGTTGAAAAATAAAAACCCAGATAATAGGTTTCGAAAAGAATATAGGTGTACCGCGCGGCAGTGGTAATAATATCATATCGGTCGGAAACAGTTGTGTAAACAAAACAAGTAACGCACGTGATCGCGGTACAAAAGAAATAATACTCAAATAGTGTAAATATACATGGGAAGTCCTGAGCTCGAAACCTTAATTTTTTCCTTTATTAAATCCAAATTTTAATTTATATCTTATGTATACTTTTCACTTACCTATATCTCGATGTTTGATATATCAAATTACCCACTACTGTTGTCACAATCCCTTCCTCCAAACACTCCTTTCAGCAGATACTTCAGTGACCACTTCAATCATAACTATGTGCTCCTGTCATAAAGAGATCAAAGGACGACGATATTCGTTCTTAGAAATTCGGAAATTGGCCTTACTACGGATACTTCTTGACCGCGAAACCTGAGTGAACTACAGTCGGAATAGGACGAAAACGATTTATTATGTTTCAATTGCGGCATGTCTCTTTGGAAAATCGATTATGACGCACAAAAAGAGAGATATGCCTAATTGAAGAATTATGGACCAGTAGGATTCTTGATCTAATAGTAGCACTACCACTAGATATTGTGAATTGTACGTTAAGATTTGCCGAACCCTCTATGACCTTAAATCGAATATTAAAATCATTATCCACGATTACCAATGTCTTGTCCGATTAAGCCATAACCAAGGCCCGGATATTTATGGAAAAAATATTGTTGAATATGCTCATAAAATGTATACTGTTCTAAAAATCTATGAAAATCTTCGAAATAATTACAAAATGTATGATGTAAAAATAAGACGCAACGTAATATTAATTTTGGAACGAGTACAATCACGAAATTACTAATTGTTATTTTAGATTTTCAAATTGAAAACTACACATAGTACTAATTTATTATTCATAAGAAACTGAACTTTTTTTTAATGCAGTTCTTTAGAAATATGCAATTTATAGTTATTTTTACCGAAATATACAAAAATTTAAAGAATAAAAAACCATTAATAATAATCTACACATTGTGAGACGTCGTTATTTATAATCAAAATTATTCTTGGTGAATTGTAGAAGTATTAGATTTGTAAAAAAATCCGGGCCAAGATAAATTATGAAACAATCTATAGTGTACTTATACGATGACTTATATATATCAGACACTAATTGTCAAACATGCCATTTCACGTAAACACGAAAATATTAAAATGTTTTGTATTATATTTTATTATATATTTAATATATTAAATTTTATTAATTATTATTATTATTAACGATTATTACGACACAGTGTCCCTCGACGATTTTTACTTGTGAGATTTTAATAGCATTGAAATAACAGAATTTCCACACCTTGAGAGAAACTGAACTACGAAATAATACGTTTCAGTAATTCATAAGAAAACAAACAACGCCATGAGTAAACAACGCCAATCTCGGAAAAAGTTAATTTAGAATATAAATAATATCGTGGAATCTACAATATACATAATGCAACTATTTCGATCACACGTCTATGACGACTAACTACGATTTTATAGTAAAATAATTTTGTTTTGTTCGATTGAAATGTTATTTTTCAATAACTGATCAGTACGAAAAACGCTATGATAAAATTATCGGTTAAAGAATCAACATTAAAATTGTGTGCAACATAATTATGGTAATATTATTTAAATTAATCAGACTAATGAAAAAACAAAATCTTAATCATCATGTATTATCAAGTATCAACGATGTACACATAATTAAGGATCACGAGTGTAAATCAAACAATAATTTAGAATTTCGAACTGAATATCACGGCTAATTGGTATAATTAGTGATTAAACATTCTACAAGGCACAACGTAATTCTTTTTCTGCTACGTATCGAGAATTTGTGCGTACATATCTAATTAAAATAACTACTCCTTTTTTAAATCACGGACGACGACGCGACAATCGTCAAGGTTTTGAGGGTGCAAAACTATTAGCACAATCGTTTTAACTACCTACCAAATATTCTACATTACATGTTACGGACAAAAGCGACTAGAACGGTTATCCGCGATACACACATACACACAAACACAAGTACAAGTTGATGCATTTCGTCTAATCTATCAATGACAAACAACAATAAGCCCAATGTCCGTTTACCGAGAAAATAAAAACACCGGACCTTCACACGGCGAACAACCTTTAAGCGGAAAACGGCAAGCAAAAAAAATAAATAAATAAATAAATAAAAACCTAATTATTCGACCAACGCTTACCTGCTGCACGGAATACGTGGCTCTTTGCATGACGAGGTATGTTCGACGAGACGACAATTCGCGGCGGATTCAATGAAAACGCCTACATAATCGTTATTCGACGAAATCGAGAGGTTGAGGAAAAAAAAAAGTAAAAAATCGACTGGCCGCAGGGGAAACGGTTCCGAGCGATTCGCGGAAGGATAAAATAAAAAAAAAAGGAAGAAAAATACGAATTGTCTTCGTGGTTCAATAGCGCACTGCGCGTTTCGACGGTTGGCGACGCGAACGGACGTGGTCGTCCGCACTGGCGAGCACGTGAACCTGTAATGAAACGCGGAAAAAAAACAAATAAATAAAAATAGGCTTGGTCCCGTGTCCGCCCGTCGGACAATCGTACGCAGTAAATGGTAAACAACACAATGCGACGATTTATAAATCGGACGAGATGTGTGCACGCGTGCGCGTGCGTACGTGCACGGTGTACGAATGGGATCGCGTTCGACGGAACTCTGCGAGGCTGTCGCGAGGGGCTGAACGAAAAGAGTGAAAGAGAGAGAGATTGAGTGAAAAAGCGAGTGAGTTGGTGATCGAGACTGACAGTGATAGAGTCTTTGAGCGAGAGAGGTGACCGGTCGGAGGGGTATTCTCCGGGAGAGGATCGCTGTGCGCGGCGAGATAGGAACGGCGCAGGTAAAGCGCGCGCACATGTTTTTTTTCCTTGGGGGGAGCAGAGCAGGAGAAACATACCGCCGTCACGTGTGCGTACAAACGAATACGACCTTTTTGAAATGCACTGAACGCGATCGTGAAAAATCCGCCGGACACCGATCGTTCCGATTTCTGGTACTATGTTTTAAGTGGTATTTCTGTCGTACCAAATCGAAACCCGATCGTCGGATCCGTTTTCATCACTACGAGTACAAATAGTTCCTGCCGAGATATTACCCTAATGGGGGAAGGGGGGGTGTTATCCTCGCCCAAAACCTTTTCATGTCTTACTGTTTTTTTTTTCATTTGTTACACGGACTGCGAAAGATAAAGTTAAAAAAAACAATATTAGTGATCACATTGTAATAATTAACGCTGTATCATATTCTTATCGCGTTCATTCTAAATAAGATTATACTTGTAACTAGGGCAGAGGACTTGTAGCTCTAAAAATTCACCAAATATCCACTTAAATATATAAAATATGCTTTTAAAAATGTATTTTTAAATTAATTTTTTTGAACAAAAAATAAGAATTTTTCTGTAGGTACTTATTATAATGAATACATTTTATTTACAACTTTAATTAACAACTTACAAGTTACAATTAATTAATTGGGTTTATTTTATGGGTTTTCTTTTCTGGATACTTGTTTTAGGCATTTTTTATAATAAACTGTAAATAGAACGTGTTTGGACTGTCAACCGTTGAGAAACACAGCGATTACTGAAATATGAATATTTCCGATGTCGACGACAGGCGTCTCCGTGGCCCATATCAATATTTTGTGCGTTGAACAATATTATCTCATCCGTCTATAAATAAAATTAATAACCCGACAATCAATCTATTCGACAACTCTCGAAAGTTGTTTTTAGTAAAACCTTGATGGGTCTGGAAAAAATCAAAAACCATATTAATATTATGATCAATATTTAAAATTATTTTAAATTCAACATTATTTTGTTCGTAAAAATAAATAAATAAAAACGTTGACGAAAAATATTGATAAAGTGATAAATTATTTAAAGTATGCATCTAAAAGTATAAGATGGAAGAAATATGCCCTAAAAACCAAAAAACGCAAAATATACATTTATATGTACAATAAAATTTCAAAACTAGCTTTATGGAAGCATGAAACATATTTTTTTCTACAAGTCCTCTGCTCTACTTGTATCGTATTCGTTGTCTTGCCGTTTAAGTTTTTAACAACATCGTCTTTTACTGCTACTTTCCTTTTGTTCCATTCCTTCCACCCTCCATAAAAAATATCACGACATTTATAATATTGTGTACTATTCGATTTTGAACTCTCTCGTAGTCTCTTCCACGCAGACGTCGCATTGTTTGATAATTTGACAATTATTAAATAATAAATAATATTGTACAATCATTACACAATCATATGACGCGTTTTGTATTTTTAATCATTGATACGTTTTTTAGCAAAACAAAATCCACTGAAAAACGAAAAAATGCACAGCTTATTTAGACGTTTTCTTCGTTCGATCACGGGAACGTAAACGATTATTTTTAAAATGTAGTTATTATTTATAATAATTGGTTAGTCATAAATTATTACTTGGTTAAATGTAAATTATGATAGTTATTACTTTTGAGAATGTTATTAAGCCAGTAAACAAGTAAACAATTTACGGTTTTTTAGGAAAATCCGTCAACAAAACTTGCTTTCGATATTTATACCGTTACTAATTTACCCATTTAGATCACACAAATATGCGAGCAAATAAACGCATTTATAGTCCGTGTGTAGATAGATACGTTCGAGTCTTATTACCTGGAAGCTAAAACATAACTGTCCTGTATGACGGGCCCGAAAAAGTGTATAGCATTAAAAAAGTCGGCTATAAACGGTCACCGTATAAAATTGTGTTTTAGGCTCACTTCGTTCACGCTAATATGTTGGTAAATACTCGTAATATTTTATATGTAAGCAAAAGAAATCGAATCCAACGACTGTGCGCAATTCACTGTGATTCGATTTGTCTTCCGCAGTACAATCGCAGTAAAAAAAAAAAAAAAAAATCACGACTGTCGAAACAAATGAGCGCACTACAATGTCACGTGCGCCTAACCGTTTAATTGTTGTTCGTTTACACAAGACTCTGGAGATGTGAAATGCACACATCCAGAGTGACAGGGTAGACGTTTTCGTATTATTTCGTTAAAGAACTTAATGCTGCCGATAATATTATAATTACAATCGATCGTGAGTCGGATCGAAATCCGTCGCGCACATTACATTACAGTTGACAGCCACGTGATACAGCGACTGAATAACAATAATTAACACAATGCCAACAGTCAGAACTCGAGTCGAGACTATTTAAATACAATAAGTGCACATGTGCAAGGGGGCACACGAATGGAAATATTCTAGGCGGAATGTAAGGATAGAAAAAAAAAAACAATGAGTAAGATAACTTGAATGACGTTGGAGCAGCAGCATTGTGCAGTAGTACGTGACGGCGGTGCAATAGGTTTGAAAATAATACACATATTAACTAAAAAAACCCACATGTTTCAAGTAGTGCAGCCATTAGGAGTCGCAGGGACGACGCGCACTTCAGCGTATGGAAATATGGAATTATTACGTATGAAGCACAATATGCACAATCATATTACATTATCAAAAAGCGATAGAGCGAAAACAGACGACCTAATGGAAGAGTAATCAAACGAGCAAAATTTAAGGAAAAAAAAATTCATTGCAAACAATTAGAAGAATTATTACGCGCAACTAATATTTGCTTGTGTTACATAAAATGTGCAGTATAAACGTGTAAATTGTATGTACGTTTTTCCGTGACGATGTTTTGCACGATAGCAATGTTCATATTTTTCTATTTAGTTTTGTGTTTGTATTAAAGAACTTTTAAAGTATAACCAGTGCTTGACTTGGAGAAAAAAATTAGTAGAGGTACCTTCTCTGATGACACATATACGACCTACCTAATTAAAGACTGAACATAATAATGTTCACCCATTTATGACACCTTCAAATATTTTACCATAAACCAAAGAATATTTCATAACTTATTATACTCACTTTCAGAGTTTCAACCATTACCGCAATATAATTAATATAATAGTATATTTTTTATTTAAAGAGGCTAAAATCAATCTGTAATTCTAATTATAACAAAAAAAAAAAAAAAATAACTACAAGCGCTCTATGTAATGGCGAATAGGTATATGATTTGTGTATACCAACAATAATTGTCGATGTTGATGTTTGATTATTATCATTTATCATGTTCCGCTGTATAAAAAACTAATACTAATACCATTCATTAAATTTAATTAATTAATATTTATTAATTTAATTAATGCTAAAACCTACACATTTTGAAAAATGGTTCGTTTTTTATAAAAATATTAACATTTTGTAATTTTGTAAAATATAAACTTAAAAATTAAGTACCGTCACATGCCTTATTTTTTCAAAAAATAGTAGGTAGGTTACGTTAGAATATCTGATAATTTAGTTGGTGTTATAAGTCTTCCCTAAATCAAGAACTAAGTATAACTCAATAATTTATGGTACAAAAATTACTAGTAAAAGCATTTTTTTTTAAATGAACACGTTGTTTTCATTTTACAATTCTTTTACGGTCTCACTTTTTTTAAAAACTTCAATAGTCGTGTGTTTACGATATGTTTTTTTTTAATTTATACGAATAAATATATCAAAAATACATACAAGTTATTTCATCTTCATAAATTAATCTTTGAAATTTGAATAAGAGTATCTAGACTAATGAGAATATTTATTTATATTTTTATCATATTAAATATGTGTAACATGTATGTAAAAAAAACTAATTTATTATTAGTTAGTTAATTAAGTTAATTAGCAAATAAGTATGTCTTCTAACATACTTTGAACAGAGTTCAAGAAATACAATTTTTTCAAATTCTGATGCAATTTATGTACTGATAAAGTACAAGGGAGAAATTATGAAGAAGACTAAGAGGGCTGTAGCAGGGGTGTCATTTGGGGAGGGGCAGACTATGGCAAATGCCACGCTCTAAGAAATTTTAAAAAGTCGGCAATTCTTTTTATCCGATGATCAAATGCTAAAATCGGTAAATCGTAAATTTTTATTTACTATTTTATATTCAGAAATCAGATAATATTTTCTTTAAAATGCACATTCATGGTTTATTAAAAGTTGGGAAACACTGACTCTTCCCCAGTTTATGACAATTATTGTTACGCGAACCTTATAAACTTTATTTTTGGTGTATTATATATTTCTATATATGTGATCTTTATAAAACAGTTTTTATGATATCGATACCATAAAAATTGAGCTCATACAGGTGCGTACTGGCCCACCGGGATACCGAGAAAATCCCGGTAGGCCCTCTCAAAAATTATAAGACCTGGGTCCCTTACCAAATGGGTAGTTTCCCTGTAGTTTCAGTTAAATTCAGCAATTTTATTATTTTAGCAATTACAATACAATACTGATAGACAGTCGACTTCTTAATTAATACTCAATGGGAAATTAGTAAGACACGCAATTTTTCGAATAATTTAATTGATTTGCTTTACATATTCATGTCTGTTACCATTATTTCGATTATTAAAATCATTCCATTATTCCATTTAATTGTTCCTATCACAAGTTGTTACCAGTGCCGCAACTACACACTATGGGGCTGGTATGCAAAT